TTTTACTTCTCTCTCTCTCTCTCTCTCTCTTTTTCTCTCTCTCTCTTTCTCTCTCTCTCTCTCTCTTAATCTTTCTCTATTTTACTCTCTTTGTCTCTCTTTACATCTCAGTCTCTCTCCCGCTCTCTTTTACTGTGGCTTTTTCTCTCTCCCTTCCTCTCCTTTTCCTATATCTGCGAGGAAGCGATTTCTCACACTATCAAAATATTTTTTGTTTTGTTCCTTTTTTATTGTGCGTCTTGGAGGGCAGTTTAAAGTCGACAATATAATTTGACCGTTATTATCTATAATCGCAGTATTTGTTGTTTGTAGGTATTCATATTTGTATGCTTCAATTTTGTGATATTTAATATTGTTTTTAATTAATGTAACTGATCCTTAGTATGTCTTACCGTCAGGATAGTTTGTATTGACAGTATGTATTGTGAAATTTTTAAAAAGTTTTTATATGTGAAATATGTTTCAAATATTAACATGATATCTATATTATTTTCTGTGAGAAAAGCTTTTAATTCTATGCTTCTTTGCGCTAAACTGTTAGCGTTCCAAATTGTTATTTTTATTTTCTGTGCTCATTTAATCTTGTTTATGAGTATAGTAAGCAGATTCAGCCTCGCATCCATTCTGTTCATCGGTTAAGTTATCATGTTTACTAATTAGCTCTTGTTGTTATTGGTTATTATTGATTGAGGTATCTGAATTTGTTTTGATTCTTCTATTGTTGCGTTGAGATTTTCGCTTGCAGCCTACGCATATGAGACGTTTGATCTAGCGATGTTTCTTGTATTTATTATTTGTTTTAGACTTAATGCTGGGAATAATTTTTGCAGAGAGATAGTCAGCGTACATTGTGGAATTTCTCTTTTTTGTACAGAGGTTGAAAACTTCTAACTAATTGTTGCATTCATTTATCAATTTAATAAATTTTTTTGTTATATTCTATTATTTTTATTTTAACGAAAAATATTGGTAACGGTTATTTAAAAATTTTATGTTTGATATTTGTTATTCTTATTATTTCGTTGTTGAACGTTTTAATTGCGTTTTTGAATTCATCGAGATTCACCAATAGATACATATTTTTTTAAAACCGCTTTATAAGGTTTTTTTTCCTTTTGTTGGAAAGTATCAAAATCAGTATTTATTTTTGCTAATACTATTATAGTTGGGGTAAAAGGTTCCGATATTTATTTGAATTTCTATTTCGTTATTTTTCATTTTTAGTATGTATTCATTTTTTGCAACTTGATTGAGTAAAAACGGGCTGATATTCAAAACACCATTGACAAAAATCAGTTGTGATTCCGCGGCGGCTTTAATTATTACAGATGTTAGAAGGAAATGTGCTTAATTTATTTTTGTTATAGCTGTTATCGCTATTTTTTTTTCTTTTAAAACTTAAAACTACTCTGCCTTATCATTATTTCCATGCCAGTAGTCTCTGATGTGCGTTTGTTTTCGCATTATTATTTTGTTTTCTTCTGGATTATATCTCAGCCTTTTATTTTAAACGGTTTTCCATACTGTTGATTCGTTATTTTTTTCTTCAAAATTTTTTAGATAGCTGTTAACTACACTGCTACAGTCATATTAGCTGAGTTTAATATAAATGTTTAACTATGTATAATTTTGTTTACTTTTGATTAACGCTAATGATATTTTTACTTATTGAAATCACTGTTTAACGATACTGGAATTTCGGAGAACGATTTACGCACGTCTGACCAGGCCGAGCGTAAAGAGTGAAGTGATATATGAAAATGACGAAAGATTTCTGTATCTTACTTCAAAATTTCATACAACTTATTTAATATCATAAAGAAGATTGAATATAATAGGCAATATAATCGGCAGTAAGTGCACATCATTGTGAAAAGCTCAATATTCGTAAATACCCTCGATAAGCCGCAAACGATGCTTGCTTCGGCGGGAAAAGAAGTAAATCGCCCATCCGAGCTGGAAGAGAAAGGAAAGAGTGACGGGAGCGCTTGTGTAAACAGCAATGCTATCGCATTATTCAATAAAAGCGAAGCTCTAATAATCCATCGCTCGATGGATTCCTATTCTTCAAACATTTCGCACTGTGGAGGGAAATCCTTCTCGCCGCGAGCGAAGTTATATAGAATCGTGAAATCCCTCATCGCATACAAATGCACTCGGTTTATCGCCTCATCCTTGTTCTATCTGGACGAACAGCCGCTAGTGCGCGTTCGTTCGTTCTCTCGCTTCATATTCATAAACGTCCGATGGCGACCGATACTTGACCTCATTGGGAAAAGTTGTTCAAACATGCGAGCTCTTTCAGCTTTTTCAAATTTTTTACTTCAAACACAGTTCAGTAGAAACGATTTATTAACCTGTCTCATACTCTATTCGATAAAGGTTTATATCGTCACTTTTATTGAACGCAAAGATTATTTTTCGAAATTAATAGAACTATTAAAATAGATTGAATAAGTCATTGTATTTTTTAAACGCTTTATAGATTTCATGCATTTATAGTACAGTTACGTTCGAAAAGGAAATTTAATTTTTAACTATAATCGATTTGAAGCCTCTTTTTCTTCTACCTCTCCTGCAGCCAACCAATTTTTCTTTGGAGGTTAGTACACCACTTTGTGTAGGCTGCTCTTTCCTCGCTTCTTCACTGTCTCCTTCTCGATTTTTTAACCGTACCCTTAGTATTCCATCATTGCCTTCAGCTTTCGGCCCTTGGCGATTGGCATCGACATCTCTCCGACGATCGAACGACAAAGCGAACCTCATTTCTCTCTCATCGGACTGGACTTTGCGACTCCAACAAGTGTTTGAAACTTCCGCGGGAAGAAGATGAACGTTCGCTGCATTCATCTACGGCTTGGCTAAGACAAATACTGACAAGGGCTTGCTATACGCTTGAGTTCGCTGAAAGAAGATGAGCTGGTCATTACTTTTCAAGCTTTATTTCTTTTCGCTAAGGAAGCCAGAGATACGCTAACTAGAAAGAGAAAAGTTCGAATTTGAATTTCATACTACGGTTCTTTTGTTCAAATTCGTTATAACTTTAGATTTTGTAATCAGACTCATTTATCAATGGTTTATTAAAAAGTTGTACATAATTTAATTGAGTTATCGATATTAGAACTGAATTCTCGTTTAGAACGTCAATAAATTTACTCACGAACTTATCAAATTACACTTATCCAATAACAGATATAAACAATGTAAATAAAATTACTTAATTAAAATGTAGATAATGGATTCACCAAAATATATGTATACGTGCTTCGTGTCTCAAGCAATAAGAAAACTGTATTAATTTATTCAATAACAATCAAGTAGTCGTACACATACAAGCGAATTTAGCTCCAGCAAATAATCCAAATTCAATCGATAATAACTAGTAATCTGATTCACTGCTAACGTCAATAGAGGGTAAACCTTAGTATAGTCGAATAACCTTTACAGAATATAATTCATGAAAAAATATAAGAAAAATAAAACTCTATAAAATTACCAGCAATAAAGTGTACGATCGAAATCATTTTTAACAGTGATCAGAGTAGTATGCATTAAAATAATGCCATATTTAGGTAAACCACAAATATTTAAATACTATTGATATTTTTGAAAGTTAATTGAAGTTGCGCTCGATCGATGGAGATAATATGGAAAGAAAACAACTTTTAACATTTTCTTAACAGAATGATAAAAAAACAGTAGAAAAAAACTAGAACACGACAATACAAATCAATAAAAGAACTTATAAAATCACAACCCTCAAGTGATGTGGTCAGAACAAATTCACATAGTTGACTGATTAACGAATCTTTTAACGTCAAAAGTTGTTTTCTTTCAATATTATCAAAACAAATATCTTCGCTTCATCGCACGTTTATTCAGTCAATGATACCATTACACATCTATAATCGCACGTCATACAGTCGTTATTTAGTGTCTGCAAGTTCCAAATCGTTATAGAGTTAGCCACGAAACACAGAGTAACTCATGTCTAATTGGTACACATAAGTACGGCACGTGCGACTTCCCTTACATTTGTGCAACATGACTTTCGTGATTGGTGCATGTACGTATATATACTGTTCAAAAAACTACACAATATAATAAACGGTCTTCTGCATACGCACATGACGGAATAGAAGTAGCTGTGTTCAAAATACACTAGTCGTCGTTCAAATTCCAATTGCATTTGGTCTCTAAAGAGAGGTATCAAAATGGTAGGTGGTAGATGGTGAGGGGGAGAGGGAGAGTCGATTGCGATGCAGTCGCGGTAGACCAGCCGAGAACAGATGCGCTGCACGATCTCCAGTCCGACGTATTGCGTTTGCTAATCCCCCGACATGCCTGACAGTATAATACACCGCTTTGCAAACACACTCGCGCACTGTTCTCTCCTTCTCTCTCTCTCTCTCACCCTACTATATGTGCAACGCTGTTTTACCACTCTACCCCTCCCCCCTTCACGATTAAATTCCAACTCTTTTGCCTCTATTGTGAAATACTGCGTACGCGGATACGTCGGTAAGTATAATTTTCCGTTATGCGCCTCGACCATTTGTTTTGCTTTTCTTGCTTACGTCTGATTATTGAAAAAGCTCATTTTATGTTATTACAAAACTGGTTATAAGACTGTGTTTTCATCATGCCGAAGGCTATATATAGATCGACTTATATTATAGATATATTCTGAATTCAGTATGATAACCATCTACGCTATTCTATATACTTACATCATAATTTTACTATTCAAGAATATTTTGAAAAAGACATCACTACGTTGCCAGAAGTTAATAGAAGTTATTATTTTCAACTATCATCTTGATTTGTCGTAGTTCGGGCGATCACCTGATCAGTTTATTGATTCCGTCACCTTCTCTACCTTAATCTTTGTCGTAACTCTCCGAAAGCACGCTTGTGAACTGTACTGTCGGTAGATACATAATTGCTGAGAGAGAGAGAGAGAGGGAGAGAGAGAGAGAGAGATGAACGGGTGGACCCGTATGACCCTTGCCAGCACCCTCGTGGCCAGTCGAAGCTCGTGTTTGACTTCCCAATCATCGGCCCCCGAGGCCCTTCACTATCCGTTTATGCGTAACCAGGGAAATATCAGGGGAATATCGAAATTCTACGGCGTAATCAATTCCAATCGCATCGAGTGTCTTTTGGCGATGCACGCGCACGATGCGTATGTGGAAGAGGCTTTTGGATTGACGTTGAGGAGAATTTTTGATGGAGTAGCTGTCATTGCACGGTAATCGTAGGGCAGTAAATAACACGTGATATTTGTAAGTATCTTGCATGAAGCGATTGGCAAGAGATTATTGACAATTGTATCGGCAGGAATTAGAGGTATCAAAAAATAATACTCTTATTTCTACTCATATTTCAGAATATAATTATTATAATATTATTAAATATTATTATTATTATTAATTATTAATTATTATTATTTCAGAATGTGCAAAGATAATAGAAAAATAAGTATTCTTTCAGAAAAACAATATTATAATAATTATTTTTCATAGAAATTTCATTTTCAATCTTCCTACTTATTTATTACATTTCTTGCAGGGCATATTTCATGATATGAATCGAAAAAAAATAGATATTTTTATTATTAAATTATTACTTTGTGTTTCGCGAATACGTTAAAACATAGAAAAGCTTAACAGACATTGAAAGAGAAAATATATTTCTTATATATCATTTAGACTTTTTTTAGATAGTACTCATTATAAAATCTATAATGTGTATATATATTTTATTTCATATTGTTTTTTACTTAACTATTTATTTCTAGATTTTACTGAACTTATATTATCTTATAAGTACTATTTCCTAAATTTTTTACCAAATATGTATATTTAAGTAAAATTTTCATTGCTCAAATTTCCGTTTACTTATTCACTTTACGGTTATCATTGATCATTCTTAGTCCTAGACGAGTAAGATTTCTGCGGAGAGTAAAAGATTACTCTAATTATGATAATAAACTTAATTTATACATTAATCTTTAAATAAATTAAAATTATAAATGTACGATCTTTTGAAAGATTGCAATATTCACCCATAGTAATTATGATAGTCTTATCAAATTTTTGGAAATTCGTTCAAATATAAGCGTACAGTATGCTTAGCATGGAAACTTGCACTTAAAAGAAATAATCAATATTTGAAAACATTGGTACAAGAGTTCAAGATTATGCCTTCTTATATAGCGATAAAATGAAATGTCTTGATGATAAATCAGTCTACAAATACATCTGTTTCTGAGATGATACTATATAAAGCACACAAGTTCTTATATTTATTGAAATAAAAATTGCTTTGGTATTTCTCATAACCATGACTATATCTTGCATTCAAATTGGCAAGTTTCAAAATCCTTAAAAGATTCATACAATAAAGTACATAAATTGCTATCTACTTTATTCAACATTTCAATTTCTTGTAGATTCAGTTTCATATGGAAATTTTGTATCAATAGAAGAAATACCTTACATAGTAAGTACCTTATAAATCAACTATTATCTTTTTTATAAAACGCCTTGCCCGCTCTTATTATTTTTTTTATTTATTACATTATTGGAATCTTTTACATGATAATTTTAAGATTATACTGGTATATATGCATAAACAAGTCACGATGTTTTAAAGACTACATACATAGATTTTCATTGACGAATAAAAATAAAATTGACACCGATTTTTTCACAATAATCGATTAACTTTTACTCCTTTCGAGATGTATAAGAAAAGTTGTTCAAATGATTAATTAAACCTATAATTGATAAAATGTACTATGTAATTATACTATTATACGATCCTGAACCTTACATAATCATCAGTAGTGTCTCATTCTTATATTGGTATGAGTAATATATTTATTATTCTGTATTTCTTTATTACCTTGTTGAAAACATCCGTGAAAATTTTTCAATTTTAACGGGTTCAATATTCTTATAATTAGTTTCCGTTGTCCGCTAACCGCTAAATTTCCAGTATAAAACAGATAAAAATATATTTTACTTCATTTGATTCTATTTATTTCTCTTTCTTTCAATCAAATTTTAAAACAAATATTAATTTTAATATCACATATTGTTCTAAAATAATTTATTTATACTGATAATTTCAAAATATAACGTCATATTTTCTTAAAAAGATTTATTAATGGTATACTTCCATTTTTGCAGATTATTTTCTATTTTGATTATTCATAAAGCGAATTTACTGCTGAAATATAAGTCATATACTTCTAGATTTATGATGTAATTATTTCAAAGTATACGGAAATTCAAAATTTCGCGCTCTTTTTTCTAATGAACCAATCACATCGCAGCATGTGCAACGATTCTTTTTTTTTTAACAGGATTATATACAACACCATATCGGTAATGACTAGTAACGTTTACACGTATTGCAATCTACTTCCACTCATATACTAACTAAAATTAACATATGTACGTGGTGTCTTCAATCATTGCCTGGAGAACTAACTAAGAGATCCTTCTTTTAACCAATATATTTTATATAGTATTGCATTCTACACGTATAAATAATATAATGAACAATGCTAATGTTCTTTTAGGTCTCGTTGTCGTTTTACGAAGAACATGCCTGTGGCGGAGCTATTATTTCAGAATTTTACGTAATCACTGCAGCCCATTGTATAGAGTAAGATTCTTTTATAAGTCTTAATTATATGTTAAGTATATAAAATAACAAATGAACTAATTTTTCATAATAATTTTATTAATGAATTTAGTCATATTTCTACCTGCGCTATCAACAATTTTGTAATAAATGAATATTTCATTTTATTCATCAACTTGACGAAATGTACGATTAAACTTTTCTTAATAATTAAAATCTTGATATTGTAATTTATCAATACTACTCAAATAAATAGATGTCATATGACTAATTTTAATATATTTTACAGTGATTATTATAAGAGAAGTTGGGATAAAATAATTGCGGGAAAGAGTGTATCAATTGGAAGGGGCGGATCACAATTCGATATCGAAAAAATCTACATACCAGAGCAGCATGAAGACGGAGAATGGGATAATATCCATAAAGAATATACAGACTATGACATAGCCTTAATTAAAGTGAATATAGTTTGATAATAATATGATGTTATATCGTATACATTCATTTTTATTATTTACAGCTGAGATATCCAATTAAATTCGATAAATATCAAAGACCAATTAAAATTAGCTCGAAGTCTCCCAAAGGTGGTGATAATGTAACAATATGCGGATATGGCAGCATGGGAGTAAGTTGATAATAATGATTTCATGATATTTAATATTCAAAGTAAAATAGTTAATAATACTATTTAATTTATTAAATTAGGTTATCAGAGGTAATTCGCCAGGTTTGAGAAAAAGTGAAGTAACAGTGATAGATCGTAAAGAGTGCAAACCGTACTCAAAACCAGTATATGTCTCAAACAGTCTATTTTGTGCCGGTAATGGCACCACTGACGCATGCGCAGGAGATTCTGGTAGTCCAGTAGTTATCAATAGAGAATTGGTTGGTATTGTATCATCTGGTCCAGACTGCGATTATTATCCGATTCACAATCGTTCGCCTGGGCTGTATGCCAGAGTTGACTTAGTCTATGACTGGATAATGAAAATTACTGGAATCAAATATTTATAAATATAATGTTCTCTGCATAAATCAAAACTAATATATATACAGATATCTAGTGTAGTTTTGCAGCATCCATAATGAATGTAGCTCTTGCAGTAACAGTAACTTAATAATGTAACATAATAAATAATTTATAATAATATTTGTACAGAACCAATACGTTTAAAGTAAGAAAGTTGCATCAATGTAATGAATTTATATAGACATTTACTTGAACAAGAAGGCTGGTAATTGTTTTTCGATCTATTGGCACTGTAGAAATTCTTGTTAAAATACTCCGCAATATTCTTCCACTGTTTGAACTACCTGAGAACAGTACTCAGGAAGCTTTGATTAAATTATAAGTCTTTTCAAAGTTAATAGATGTGTGGTTTGATAGTTTATCAATGAAAATATTTTCGGAGTTTGTTATGAGAAACTAATCTGTAATCTGTATCTACATTAGTTTTGATAACTCACTACAATTAGAATAGCATTGAAACAATCAATGGTATGAATGAATTCTTACAGTAATTTTCAGAATTTGCATTTTTACTTAAATTATTCTTTCATTTTTAATACGGGTTATCCAAAGAGCACTGCCATCTGATGGCTAAAACATTGAAAGAGTATTATTGACTTTTTACTTCAATTTTTTTAGTTCGAAGCAAATGACTATTATAATTTTTAACACTTCATCTGGTGTAATCCATATATGCTACCTGTTTTCAGTTGTTTTTAAAAATTCAAGCTCGAAAAGTAATAATAAAGAAACTATAGATAATAGGTATCATATAATGCTAATTTCTAAGGTCACCAGTATTATTATTATGTTTTCGTTATCATTTCTATCCGTCATTACTCATTTCTATTAAAACCTTTAGTATCGATTTTTTATAGTTGACTTGCTTTTTCACAAGCACTCGCACAGTCCTAACCCTCCCTCGTCTTTTTCCAACTTCCGTGCTAGACGCGCGCGTGCCCTCGGCGTTTCTAAATCGAACGATGCGTATTGTGCGATGGCGATGCTCCCAAAGCACAGATCAGAATATCGTGGGCACAAAAGAGCACGGGAACAATGACACGAGCCAAGCTAAACTCAAACGAGGGTCGGAGACTTTGCTGTCTTTTTTTATCACATTGTCTTTCAGTTTCATTATCAACATCTTTTTAGAAATATTCAGACTCCAAACAATTGTTGTTCTGGATAAATCTCAGCTTTTCCTTCGCTTTCAAATGTATTTCAGTTTGCTTAATTAGTACTTTTGTATAAGTTTGTAAAGATATAGTTCTGTAAACGTCTATGACAGAATTCATTTTTTTATCCAATACAGTTTAAAACTAATACATTACATTGAAATTGTGACATTGAAGGAGAATTTTCTTTGATTATAAAATATTTAATTATTTTTACCCTGAATATAAAGACAAATGCCCGTATTTACAATTAAGTAAGTAAACAAACTATGTAATCTGTCACAACAAAAGAGATCTACTTTCACTATACACTTAAGAGTTCCAGCATTGCCTTGGGGAAAAACTCTACCATAACAGAAAAAAGATCGTAAGCAATAGAAACAAGTGGTTCCAGGTATACGGGAATTGCCGACATACACAGACACAAGATCTTTATTTCATTTATAGAACAGACCAATCGCACATGGATTCTATTCCATGTCTTATTTTCCATCTTACTATGCGATTTCGTTGAATATTGAATGACTTTGGCACGAAGCCCGTGTGGTTTTCTTTAATGAATTATTGAGACCCTTCGCGCTCAGCTTCCATTTTCGGGGGCTAGTAGACCGCGCACCGGGCATTCTTTCTTCACAGACGTTAAAGATTCAATGCCCAACGTTGGGCGCGTAAAGAGCAAACGTGTGTTGGAGCTATTACTATGCCAAGGCATTCCAAAGGAGAAAATAAATGATAAATTAGTTCCTTGTATAAAATTCTTGAAGATGTTTGCCCTCCGCGTGTTTTCTTTAATATTGCAATATCAATTTCTTTCGGATTCATCAGCTAGAAACTTGACTATCACTTTTACTGTTTGAGTGTAACATTTCTGTATTCGTAACAGTGCAATACATTGAATGTTGAATGAACTGTTTGTACTTTCTTTTTATTTCTTTTTCATAATTACACGTCTTGGTATAGTCATCAATTCTTATAATCATAAAGAGTCGACGGTATTTCACACTAATAACAAAAACAGTTAGCTTCATCAATTCTCTAGTACGGAGCTATCGACATCCGAAGTCGGATCTTACAGCTGTAATTATTGGTTGATCAAGAAAGTTGATAGCACGCCTATAAGATAATGGGTTTCTTTTCTTCTCCACTTCATTTCCATCTTTAGAATCATTAAACATTCATAAAATTGATAATGATCGGCATTGATCATTCGAAAATTCAAAGAAAATAAAAAAATGTTAATGTACTTCAGCTAACGGCAAGTCGCTTCAATAAATTAGTTTGAAACAGCAATCAATTGATTTAATCAATTTGTAGAGTTACGAAAGTTTGGATCATAAGATCGCTAGCGAGAGAAGAAAAGATAGCTGATTGTAAAAAAATTGTTAATCGAAATTCCATCGGGCACTCTCTGCCTCTCTGGTTACAGGCATATGGATGTATTCGTGTGGCAGCGGATATTGCGGGTGGGGCGTGCATGCAGGTGTATAGGAGAGAGAATTTGTGTTTGTGTGTGTGCGCGCGCGTGTCTCACTTAACAAACAAGGATCGGGGGATTAATAGCCAGTAGACTCGATCGTCCGTACGGTCCGTGTCATCATCCCCCATGTGTGCGCACGTGAAAACGGCCAATCGGCCGAATCGGAGATAGAGGTGCCCCTCGTCCGATAGAGGAAGCACACTCAAAGGTACGCGAGGATATGAGAGTGCAGGCGCTTGGAATGCACCTTCATTTCAATGCTGTATATTCGCTGCGATGTTGCTTAAAAACGTGCTTGCAGTGAACTTTTTAGTATCTATTGAGTATTGAGATTTTAGGTTTTAGGAAGAAAATTCTCAATAAATTTATCTACATAAAAGAATCGTACTTTCCATACTCGTTATTAGTTTGTCATTATTATTAACAGATTTAGACGCTTGTAAAGAGGTTAACACGAGAGAACGATTTATTTCAGCACTTAAGTTAAGGTTTAACGTTTGCAATGAAAAACATTAAAAATTAATAAATCATTTTTTTCATGATAAACTTTGTAAATGCAATTATTTAGAAAACGACTAAACACGCGCGGCACATCAAAGTCACGTTGATACTCGCAGAAAGCCGAAAAGTGACAGGCTACAGCGAGAGACAAAGTGAAGGGCTAGCGAGAGAGTTGGGGCCAACAACGAGAGAGAAGCATCCGGAAATTACATTTCGCCGTGGTGTAGTAATAACGTGGTTGAGTCTAACGCGAACGAGATGACATCGCTGATCAGCAACCCCTTTGCGCATACAGACGAGGGCTTGCATTTGCGACGAGTAGCGCACACACGCACATACAGCCGAGGCATAGCGGGCATAAAGATTTATTTGTAAACTCGCGAGAGAGCGGATTCTCCGCGTTTATATGACGCTAATAAGGCGCATCGCTAATTCGTGCGCATGATACCGCCTGTGCAAAGTAAATAAAACTGGCCATTTGGTCGCGCTAGCGCATGCGATATTACTGGGTAAATACGCGCAAGGATATTTATATACTGCAGATCAAATATTCCACTGTTTACACTGAATTCGGCTTTGCTGTTTATGTGGCTGCTCGCCTATAACCAACTCTTTGATTAAAAAAGTGAACGACACGCCGGCATGGTTTTTTGTTATCGAGAATTACTTTTTTCGCTTATTTCAATAGGTGATGCAAAACATCGATGAAAAAAATATGACGAAGAGACATTTTCAATTTTCGATTCAACTTCAGTTCCATCAGCTGATGAAAAAGAAAGATTGAATATCGTGTTTGATTTTGAGTCTAGGTTCCGATATATCAATCAGACCTTTTATCGAGCGAAAGCATTAAAAAGAAGTATGTTGCTGATTGCGTGAATGGGAATATTTGATCACGATCGAAAGTTTTTTGGCTATTCAAATACATCTGAAGAATATCGACTCCCGAGTGCAGCCGTATAGTATCTTATCTTTAAATTACTTTTTTTGGCCTCGAACCCAATACGGTATGTGTAGGAAAATGAAAAGAAATATATTTTGAGGGGTGAAAAACTGTGAGCTCGAGAAATTTTGGGGAGAAGGGCGAACGAGTCATGTATACAAAAAAGGACTGCTGCTGGTCTAAGCTTTTCAAAGGCATATTCATGCCGAGCACGAACGCAAAACATCTTTCGCAAGGGTTGCTCTATAACTTTTATCTTTCATGCAAATAAGACATAAGCCTTGAGCAGTAAAAATTGATTTTTATACTGAGCTGCGTAATCAATAATATAACACGAACATCTCTTTCCATATAATTTTCCAATTGAAACTCTTTCAGCAAACGATCAACAAGTATATTCAATCGATCTTTATGAATTCACTTTCTGCAAAAAGCTTTCCACGTAAAAGCAATGACTAAAACTTGAAAATTTCGGAAAACACTTATGAACTCAGTTTAATTTTTCAAGTCAAAGCCGACGGTGGGAGCATCGTACGCACAAGTGGCTAAAAAGAAGGGACTTCGCGAACGAGCGATCTTCGCATCCTCTCTCGCGACGACGTCGGTAGATTGCGGCGGCGAGCCAAGTGGCGAAGATAAAGCGCGCTGGGGAAAGTTTAAGGAGCATCCGCGCGCCGCGCCGGGACTACCGCAGATCGTTAGACTTTGCCCTCTTCTCGACCCCCACGCGCGTACCATGGAAATTAAATTTTCATCTTGCTAATGCCATACTCGCCCGTCTCTCTCCTCGTTTCTCTTCTTCCATCGGTCTTCTCTTACTGTAGTATCTCCCTTATTTTTCGTTTGCGGCTCTGATCTCGTGTCTTTCGCTCATTTGTCAGTATTATTTGTCACAGTCGATATTCTTCC